AGGTACGGCCAGGCCGGGCACGACAAGCTTAGCATCTCAGTAACCCTGGGTCCATGAAGCCTGAATCCCCCAAAAGACCAAAAGCTCTAAAATCTTTAAAATGCTAGCCAACGTAATCAAAAACAGGAGACGTGAATGGGAATCGCACATGCCAGGAGGATGGACCTGTGGATCTGCATGAGCTCCGTGCTGTCCAGAGAAAGCTTCAGCTGGAAAAGGCATGCCGAAGAGCTAAATATATGGGTTTAGGGCTCTACAGGGCAATAGAGGGAGGACTCGTAGGGCTTTAGAGTTTAGGGTTCAAGTATTTGATCAGAAGTGCCAGACGGATGTATCTCGTGGCACCAGCAGTGAAGGCCGAAGAGAATAACGAGTTCCTAGCTGCCAAAGATGCAGAAGGAAAATCCTCGGCTGCCCAAGAAATTGGCAAAGCAGCGGACGCCGATACTCGAGATGCACTTCCGCCTCGCCCTCCCCCTCTTTGAGTTGTAGTAGGTAGTGTAGGTCGTGGGTCGCAGGTCCGAGGTAGTAATAGGTCGTGGTGGTAGTAGCAGTAGTAGTAGTAGTAGTAGTAGTAGTAGTAGTAGTAGTAGCAGCAGCAGCATGAGTACTAGTAGTTATTACTATTAGTACTAGTAGTAGTAGTAGTAGTAGTAGTAGTAGTAGTAGTAGTAGTAGCAGTTGCAGTTGCAGTTGCAGTTGTAGTTGCAGTTGTGGTGGTGGTAGTAGCAGTAGCAGTAGCAGTAGCAGTAGCAGTAGCAGTAGCAGTAGCAGTAGCAGTAGCAGTAGCAGTAGCAGTAGCAGTAGTAGTAGTAGTAGTAGTAGTAGTAGTAGTAGTTGTTGTTGTAGTTGTAGTAGTAGTAGTAGTAGTAGTAGTAGTAGTAGTAGTAGTAGTAGTAGTAGTACCACGCACGCTCGTAGGAGGATTGGTGTTTTCATGCGTTTCGAAGCCAGTTTGCACGATAGGAGCGGGGGTGGGGGGGGGGGATGATAACAATAACGTTCATGTTAATAATAACGTTCATGTTACTGCCTTTGGCGACCATGCCCAAAAGACTGGCATTTACAGCATGTTGGCTTCTTTGTACAACAGACTGCGCAAGGATGTGGAGCACGACACGTGGTCACAAGCATCCATGCCTTTGGCGACCATGCCCAAACCACTGGTATTTACAGCATTTGTGCTTCTTTGCCTACTGCGCAAGGATGTGGAGCAAGACACGTTGTCACAAGCATCCATGCCTTTTGCGACCATGCCCAAAACACTGCTTTTTTGCCTCTTTGTACAACATACTGTGCAAGTAGTGCCTTCCTTAGTCAGAAAATGAGTAAAGCGCCCGCAGCGAAAGAAGCATCTCAAACCTTCAAAAACTACTTGGTGATTTGGACACCCGCAGCTGCCTAGTGCGCGTTTTTGTCGGCCCTGCCGGTACTTTCGGCACTTCATGAGCCTAAACGCACAGTTTTTTGCACACTCAACTTTCGTGGCAGCCGAAAACGCCGTAAGGGTGATCAAATCTGAAGATTGCATTCGGTTTGAAACGCATCAAAACATCAGTCCTCCTACGAGCGTGTGTCCTAGTCCTAGTAAACTAGTAGTGGTACTTAGTAGTAGTGGTGGTAGTAGTAGGATTAGGAGTATAGGCAGTAAAGAATGGATAGATGTATGTGCATGGATGGGAGGGATGGAGGGAGGGAGGGATGGATGGACGTATCGGTGCAGGTATGCTTTCATGGATGTAGCCATGTATGCAGTAATGTGTTGAGATACGTACGGAGGGAGGGAAGGGAGGGATTGATGGATGGATGGACGCACGACCCATTTGCATATTGCACGTTATGCTGCATGACGGCTGAAAGACACGCACGATCTAAGTCTTTAAGTCACAACGGGTGTGGGCAAGCAGAGATGTCGGAAGAAGCATGTGCACATATCAGCAGACAGCCAAGGAGTCAGCTGCTTCACCAGGCCTTGATCAATCTACCCGACGTGGCCTGAGCAATGCAGAATCAGCCGAAGAAGGCATGCCAAGACACGGCAAGTCGAAAACCGACTCCGGGGGCCCCGGAGGTCCAGGGGGCCCAGGGGGCAAAGGATCCCAAAACGGCCCGAAGTTAGCGCCGACACCAGGGAAACCCAAGGATCAGTTCCAAGGGCAGTCGCTCCCTCCGCCTCCACCACCAGAGCCACGCAAGGTAACCATGGAGGAGGCCCAGCAAGGGGTCTATGTACCAGGGGAGATTGAGCCATACCAAACAAGAATGTACAATCCTTTCTTTCATTTATGACATGGGCTGCACATCTTCAGATCGAGCGCTCGATCTGATGTTGCGCCTGTTCATCTCTCAGCAAGTGGCTGAGTCGGCGTTGTGTTTCACGTGGAATCTAGAGCATCCCAAAGCGGTGTTGAAGCGAGCACCTGCGTCAAAAAGGACTGGGCCGTCGCAGCAGGGTTCGCTTGTTTTGACGGATTCCTCGGAGACCATGCATGTGCAACACGGACTCGCCTAAGCCTGCAAGCTGCCGCAGGGGGATAAGCAAACGAGATCCTTCCAAGGTAATGCACAGATCCTAGTAACGTTCTCGCTGAGGCCGGAAGAGGAGTGCCGATCCTCGTGAATTGGAGGCTCTCCTTGAGCTACATGCCATATGCAGCCAAGCATGATTCCAGATTAGCATACTGAATCTCGGCGATTCTGGAGTGTCTGATGAATGACTGCGCGCGTGCAGGTTCCAGATCCTGGCACCTGCAGCGCAGATGAAGAGGTCAGCCCGCAATCGAGTCCGGGCATGTTTGGGAGGGCGTGGTGGGACTGGAAATATGTGAATTCGATGACTTCCTTTCGTCAGGAGGATAGGGACGACTACGACGACATTGACATAGCCAGCGACATTGGCGTGGAGGAGGCGGTGCCTGCAATAGGCATGCTAGCTTCACCGATTGGTGTCGATTTCGACATGCAGGATGCACCGGTGCCCTCGACGTGGGGTGCTGCACCCGTACCATCTGGCAGGTTGCGTGGCTGATTCAAATCGATGCAGAAGGGGCTTGGGGTAACTCTGGAGCACAGGCCTTGTCTCGTCTGTCCTGCGTAACTACACGGAGCAAAGCAGAGAGTGGATGCGATGTGGAACAAGCTTGCCGCAGATGTGGATTTTCCCGCTGCGTGGTTGATTTTGGTGATGTCGGAGTATACCTCCACTTGAATACAGATAATACAGTACGTGAGAGTGCAGCGTAATATGCAGCAATGTACATTTAATGTAATTTCATGAACCAAGTTGAGAATGCTGTGCCGAAGGGCATTGCAGGGTTCAGCGGCCGGACAGTTGCGGGACCCCTGCAAACGCCAAAGCCTGATCCTCCGCACATGCCTGCTGCGAATGGGAAGCTCTTATAACGGCTCGAGACGCGTTTTCAGTCGCCATCAGTGGACATATACATACACATGATGTAGATGATACAGGATATGAGCAAGTAACTAGATATGCCTCGGCGGATTCTCTGCAGTTTTGCTCGCGGAGGTCGACTCTGTTTGGTGGACTCCCACCGAACCATCCAGGACTCCACGGCAAGGGGAGAAACATGCAAAGCTGGAAATGAAGCATGTTCGTTCAACAAATTATAACCTCTGTTGTTGTTGTTGTCGTGGCGTCACAATCACATATCTGCAAAGCTCAGACCGTCAGCTAGCTGCGTTGCAACTGCCTGACGGAAGCGGCAGGCCTCCAAGGGGTGTTAGCGCTGCAATCCTCCATCCAGGCGCGATTTTGTTTTCACGCAGGTTAGCCATTGCAAATCTGCAGATGCACTCACTCAGACTATTGTCTCTCGTGGAGAGGCGACCGGCTGGCCTCTCACTCTGAAAACAACTTTGTGGCCTTGCTGCAGATACACGAAGGCTTAAGTGCATGACATAGGCGTGGCTTTGCAGCCATTTGCCACTGAGGCGAAAGCTGGCTGAGCAAGTTCCTGGACTGCCAGCCATGCATCATCCGCATCCTCGCTGGCCACATGCTTCACTTGTGGACTCGTTTAGCCTGTCTGCCTGCAGCAAATTTCACTCTGTATCTTGGCAGCACAAGTGTGGCTGGACAGCTAGACTTTGCTTAGATTCTGACACGCGTGGCAAACAACATGATTCATGATGGTGTTTCGTGCCAGGCACTCTTCGAGGAGGCCGCCTCTCGGCCTGGTTGGGTCCTGTTCTTTGGGAGACTCTGGGAGACCGTTTTCCTGGCTTTCTAGGCTGCTGCTGCACTGCTGCAGCTGCACAAGGAGATGACCGAGGGCACGGTGCTAGCAAATGTAGAGTACGCAGCAGCACTGACGGAGCCTGCTGGCGCCATCCGGAGCCTGAAGCATCTTGCAACGCGCCTCACCAATCTTGTAGAGTGATTTTTTTTCATCCGGCTGTCACGAAGGTCTTCGTAAAAGAATCTGAAGGCTGAGGAGTTCAGGAGTCCTGTAGGTCATATGAGTGATAAGCTACGACTTTAACAACCAACCTCCCCTTCAGAGAATCGTTCAACGGACGCGCTGTCCACTTTGGATTGCCAATGTGCAACGTGCAACTTTGTGGCCTATAGTCACGCTGGTTTTCTCAAATCTCGACCGACAGCCAAGCTTCGGCCTTTGTCAGCATTGCTGCCCAGTTATCGCTTGCAAGTCTTTTGGTTCGTGCATCCTGAATAGCCGTTCAACTCACATCTACAATTCAGACTTAATCGTGACAAATTCCAATCCGTCGGGCAGAGCCTGGGCACCAATACCTCGCAGTACAGGAGCCATCTCAGAGCATGGAGACAAGTTGTTTAACGTTTCAAGCGAATCAGCGGCTGTGTCCCCTGCAAGCCACGGCACGATCCTGGTGATGCAGGCGGCAAATTTTCAAGCTGCTGACCAACTTGGGGAACAGAAGCCACCCGCGGATTAGAGGCTTTAAAAGGAGGCAGCATGTTTGGAGACAAACATCCGGGCCAGTGCTCAGTGTCGCAGGCGTGAAGCTCTCTTGGGCTTGAAAGCTCGTGCGAACGAGAAGGCGGCTTGAAGATGGGAGATCTTCCAGCTGTCCGGCGGGATTCTGTTGTTGTATTGCGGCATCGCTCAGGATGCTCCTAGTACCCTACTACTGCTTAGCGAAGCGAGGCACAGGAGGCACCAGAGCTGGAGAGCCTCCTGCAGCGTCTGAGCCGGGATCCTTAAAGTCTTCTCTTTCTTTCATCGAAGGCATCTTTATCTTCGACAGCCTCAGTGAAAGTATGTGGTCGAGGTATTGACATCACGGAGTTGCACTGTTGATCTGAGGCGCCGCGCTGGTGGCCGCGGCGCAGTCGCGCCGGCGCCGCAGATGGAAGTGCCTGCAGTGGCGGTTTTGAGGGGGCGGTTTCAGGTCCCTGTCCCGCGGAGTCCATTGCCGGATTCGGTGCTACATCCCCAAGGCATGGCTCTGAAACGCGGCACGTTTATCCGCACTGCCAGTGATGATTCGACATGGTATGCGTATATTCTCGCTTTCTGATCCCAGACTCGCCGCGTCTTCAGAGCGGGTGAGGTGGAGACAGCTTGGCTTCCAGTCGTGCGATCCTCGCTCAGACCTGCGCACGGGAATCCTGGCGCCTGGAGCTCAAAGTCTAAAGAGGTGCTCACCGAGTCGGGTTTTGGCTTTAGGATGCAATTTTTGCGATTTTGAGGGTGAGGGTATAGGTACTTCATAACTCTTTAGGCTCCTATATTACCCTAAGACTTAACAACCCTGAAACCTAGACCCCAAACCCTAATTAATGTGCTTCGAGCCCTTTGTCAGCCGGCAAGGCTCGACTGCTTAGTCCACATGGCAGAAAGGCCAGGCGAGTCTAGACTTCACTGCGACAGTGGTATTCATAAGGACCCACAGGTTTCTGACTTGAAATCATTGTGATTTTGATTGCATTCCACCGAAGCATATCGCAATTCTTTGGTTGCTCGCCGTGTGTGGTTTGTTTACTACTGCACAGCATGTTGCCGCTAGCTACAGGAACTTGCAGGGCAAGCCGCAGCAGCACAAACTGAATCTGTGCATGCAGACGTTGGTGGGGGGAAAGCGCAGGGCTGACACTGGCAGGTATCCCCTGGCCACGAGCCAAATGGTCCGTGAGGCCTCGGCAACAGCAATGCTATGCAGGAGCTTCACGGCACCCGGCTCTGACGCAGGCCCAAAGCGATGGGATCGATTATCCGTTCGCTGTGGCGAGCATCAACATCACACAGCACTTGGCTAGGCCCGCAAACTCCGCTGCATTCGGGAGCCTTTTGGAAGCCTTCCTGATGCCTTTCCTTCCACAGGTATCTGCAGCTTGTCAAGGATGGCTTGGGCTGCTCCTTCGGCTGGAAAAATTTTCCGCCTCAGTTGCAATTCCATCACACGACGAGGAGTTCGCTTGCAGCGGTCATGACAGGTAGTACCCATTAGGCGTTGCGCATTCGCTGACTTTTTACCGTAAGTGCTTTTGTGCACCCGCTTGACGAGGCTCCGGGATGCAGAGCGCATCCCCTCGCGTAGTTCACAGATTTGCGAGGCGAGCAAGCGACCTGTTTAGCACCTTCTGCGTTTAAGGGGCTCCAACTCACAGTTGCCTATTCTGAAGGCTTCTGGCGAGCTCCAGGACCGGATGGCTAACAAGAGTCGGGGATCCGGATGAGTCCAATCGTATCTGTTTTTTTCCAGAGTCTGCTCGCTTTGCCTCCGGGCCTCGGCAGGCAGCGGATCGAAAGCCGCCGGGAGCCTGCGGCGCCTGCGATAGAGCGCTTGGCCTCAGAGTCGCAACGTGAGACGAGGCGTTTGTGCAGCGCCGCGTGGAAATCCGAAAGTTGTGCTGGCATGCGTTGCGTTACGTCGTGATGTAGATGGCTGCTCTGCCGGTGACTGTTATGCAGAGGCAGCACCTTTGGAATCTGCTCGCCGGGAAATGCTTTTGCAAAAATGACCGTGAACTGCACGCGTGCATCACAAAAAGCTTTGTCTGGGAGGGGCAAGTAGCCACCTTCCAGCAGGGAACATGACCCCGAGACCAATGACCTCAGCAGTTGGTGTGCCGTCTTTCACCCGGCTACTGTTCAAGAACCTGGCTCTCCACCGATGCCCCGAGCAGCCGAAATTGTCTAAAGAAGGAAGATCTACAACGAGCAAAGCAGCTAGCGGTAGATGTCAAATCCCATAAACATGTGGTCCTGGAACTCGATGAATCGTCCTACCCAGGCCCTTCTGCGAGTTGCATGCAGCTGCGCGCACCTCAGAGAGAGTGCAAGCCTTCCGGCTCGATGTTTTTATGTTGAAGATGCCGAGGTGATGGCACGTGGGGAGCTCGTCTATAGAGCCGCATTGCCACTGACTTGGAGGGCTCCTGGATGAGAGGCCTGCACTCCAACTGGCGAGCGCGGAAACAGGAAGACCCGAGCATCACGGTGTGCCGCCTAAGTTGGTGTCTCTTCTCTTGCATCTGCGGGATAATTAGGAGGAGAACTGCTTTCCAGCAAGGTCATGCATTTTGGGCCCATCATGGAAGAGACGTTGGCAGCTGCATGTGCGTGGAAGACTTATGCTTGTGCTTACTTTTTGTGTATCTGCACACGAGCAGCGTTCTGATACTGTTCCTGGGGGGCATAGAGGTTCTGCAAGCAGGCTCCCATGGAGACAGCGCCTGGGGCCCAGCAATCCCAAGCCCCGAGGCCCAGAGCCCCAGAGCCCCATCGCCCTGGCGAAGTGCAGGGTCCCTTGTCTTACCGTTGGTTAGTAGGGAATGGAGGAATGGGGTACAATTATAACTACTATTACTACCATTCTTCCATTCCCTACTAACCAACGGCAAGTTGTGGAGTGAGGTCGGAGTTCAGGGGCCTGGCAAGCGTCTCGCAAGAGGCCTGGCCCGGTCCCGGTGGTTCGGAGATGATGGAGGGGTTGCCTGACGATTGAGGTTTATATACCTTCTGTGAGACTCATGTCGGGGTGATTCTAAAGAAGGGATCCTGCGAATCTGGTGTTCTTGGGGCCCCTGGACTTAGTAAGTAAGGTAATAAGACCCTTAACTGGGGTTACAAGTAATTCACAGTAAGTATAGCTACCTGGTACCCTTTTCGAAAGCCTCAAGCCGTAGCTTCGGAATTCTCTGGCCAGGCCGCGGCGCCCCTGCGATCCGCCGGCGAAGAGGAGTCCGAGGCGGCTCAGCGAGCCGAGTTGCAGACTAACTATTTTGTTGGGGTCCTTATAATTAAGGATCCTACTTTTTAGGGTAAGTTGCAGACTCTAGCGATTTGGGAGTTTCCGAAAATTAAGGGTACCTTATTTTATTGGGTTCCTTATAATTAAGGATCCTGCTTTTTAGGGTACTGACTTTGGCATTACAGGAGCTCCAAAAGGTCAGACTTCGACTTTGGGGGTTTTGGGATCAGGGACCTAGGAACTATGTTTAGATATGTTTATAGGTCCTACTAGCTGTGGTGTTCCGTGTTCGATGGTGGCCCGCTGCCGTCCAGAAGGACTTCGCTAAGCTGGCTGATTCCGTGCAGCAAACTGCCGCCGCCTTAGCTGTGCCTACGGAGAAGGGACTGGGGTTTCCGAAAATAGGGGACCTATTACATATTAAGGATCCTGTGAGGCAACCCCAAAAAGGAACTACAATGGAGTTCCTCAAATAGGGGACCCGAAGATAGTACCCTGAATAGTAGGATGCTTATTACCGGGACCCCAAAGAATGAGGCACCTCTAAGCTTCGGAAACTCCCATGCAATGCAGGGCAGCGAACTGCCAGAAGCTGCATTGCCCTGAGGTTCAGAAATTTTCTGAGACTGCAAGCATTTTCGGCTGTTCCGACGTGTTTTGCTTGCCATCGAAGTTCTTGGTTTTTTGCTGCGGTAGGGAATGGTAGGGACGCGAACGTCAGCTGCATTCCATACGTCGAGGTGTGTCAAAGTCTGCCAGGGCTCCTGTTATGGATGACATGTCGATACGCCTGTTCACTTGTCACAAGTGTCCGGCGGCTTTCCGACAGTAGAGAGTTTGCCGCCAGGGACATATCTGCATGGAGCCGGGCACTTGAAATGGTGAGTAACGCTGCTCGCCGCCTGTGATTTCCGTTATGTTGCGGAGATTGGAGACGCGACATGCGGCCGAGGATGCTTGCTTCAATATAGCCATCTAGGCCCGAAGGGTGACAGCAACATCCTGCAGGCGGTAGGATGGCTTCCACAGAGCCTTTGCTCCCGGATGATCAGGAGGCGAGCCAGTGCTTCGGGTGACTGCAGTTGCACTGCCGCTGCCTGCTTCGGTGAAAGACGCGACGACTCTTTAAACCACCAGACTCTCACAAGACAATTTGAGCGAAAAGTCAAGGTCCTTTGGATGGGCCTGAACGCAGAAGGCACCCCTAGTATCATATAGGAGGTTCTGGTGAGGAGTACTTAAGGATTGAGGGCCCAGAAAAGCAATGCATCCGGAGCCGATGCCAGCACACGCCGTTCTGGCATTAGTCAGCGTTGCCAGCAGGACGGTGTGAGGGGCTGGTGCCGGAGGACATGCAAGTCTCTGGCAAAGGGCTTGGCACTAGCAACCGGGCGGCACGTTTAAAATAAGAGAGAGGTGAAGTGGCACTTACTGCCTCGACGGCAGCGCGACGTCGCTCACGCGGCAGTGCCTAAGGTCTTGGCTGTCGTGTTCGTCCTGGTTTGGATAGTGCAAGGAATCGTGTGGGAGTATGCGACCATTGGCTGTTCTCCTGACCGACTTAAAGACTATGACTATCCTGGAGGAGGCGAAAGTGAAGCTGGATCTTGGGTTGCAGTTGGCAGGAATTTTACATCGTTGGCTGAACCACGTGTTGGAGCAAATGGGTTTGTGAAAAGAATTGCGAGATCCCTCATTTGTTGGATGAATACATGAGCCACTCACAGCGCTGGTTGAAGCTCTGTGGAAACACCGGGACAACAGTTAATGCGCACCCGCGGCCTGAACTTCATCAAAGACAGCCCCCACAAAGCTTTCAGCCAAACACAGGGTACCTGTGGACTTCAACTGTGCCGACGGCACTCCTAGAAGTCAACAATCGAGCACATAAAGTATTGTGGCTTCTTGCGTCAGCAGAGCAACGAGACATCCCCACCCGGCAGCCTCCCCGTATGAGCGAACCGGAGCCGGGGCGAAGCAGAGAAACAATCACCACGTACCCACCGCCGGAAAGGCTGCGGACCCAAAAACGAGCGGAACAAAACAAAAGCCTTCTGGATGGTGGCATCCAGTGGAAGTGGGTATGGAGCACAAGAAACGGGAGACGACACGAAGCAGATAGAGCCATCAGCAGGGTGGAGGAGGTTAGGGCTTTCGACGTGTCGCGTATTTTGTACAAACTTCTAGGTACTTCAAGGTATGTTGTGCGTTGCCACTGATTAACCGAAGGATTAATTGTCAGGGCATCACGCGCGGAACAGTAGAAGAGTACGTACAATCTCAATTATTGCTATGTGTACACATTACCCGCATGGCCAATGCATGAACACTGGTATGCACAGGAACGTATGCGCAACTTCTGTACGCACATGACTTTGCCGTCAACCAATCCCTTGGCATCAGGTGGTAAGGCATTCAACCTACTGCCCATGATCTCTCTTCTGGCTGAGCGCAAGCCAATGTGGTATGGCCAAGCCTTCGATGTGATCCCTTCCAACGAGGCCTGGTGAGCCGCCGCTGCGGTGCATTACAAAACAGAAATAGAGCTTGCTTGTGCAAGCATGCCAAGCACCTCGTCGTGTGATTCGTGTTCTACATTGAATTCTTGCACCTTGCGAGCACTTGACGTGAGGCCTCCACTGTCGCAGGCGCACCTGTTGGCACCTGGTGGCGGACCACTGGACCCTTGTTTAATACATACATGTACGAGGACGGGCGGCGGTTTTTTGCCCACTTGACATTCCTCTGCAACATATCCTAGAGCGTTATCGTGCGAACGCAGCATGGAGAGGACGTTGCGAACTCACAGCCGACCGTCATGATGAGACGGAAGCTGATCCGACTGGGGCAATGCCATGTTATCGAGAGATGTGACGGAAGCGGAGAAGCTTACACCATCTCGGAGGGCTCGAACTACTTCGCGAACCGCTTCAGAAAGCAGCTTGGTGGAACAGGTCAGTCCGCTGTGTCTCTGTCTCTCTCTCTCTCTCTCTCTCTGTCTTCGTTTCTTGCTTGCTTGCTTGCTCTGATTGCTTGTTTGCTTGATTGTTTATGCATGCATGCGTGGCATTGGGATTGCGCGAGTGCTTATGCTTCTGCCCATGCATGCATGCATTCACAGATAGATACCTCGGTAGATTGAAACATCCGTTCGTGCTGGTTCATACACTAGTTTCACTACTAGCCTTTTACTCACTCACTCAAAATGCATACATACATGCGCACGACGGTGTTGCTTCGCCTCACGTCAGTCAGATGGGATCTATGTGAGTGTACTTTGTTCTCTTCGCTATGGGAAGTTGCTTGCTTATGTCAAGTTCTCGACGACCTCAGGTGGTTGGGTATGACTCAGGCGATGAGCCTCTCTGGCTGAGTTCTGTCAAGTTTTGTTCATGCTGTCTTGAGCCTAAGCTGTAGTCTACAGTCCAGCAAGTCTTTGAGGCACCTTTGGCTCATGAGACTCGTCAGGTTACAAGATCTACAAGGGCGACACCCTCATTGCCGTCGCCGAAGAGACGCAGAATGGCTTCGAATCTATTGCCTTCCGGAATATCAGCTCCCGCAGGGAGCTTGCATCCTCCGTGCTGGAAGGGCGTCACTTCCACGGCCAGTACGACCTCTGGCTGGTGGACGCCAAGAAAAAGGCCTTCAAAATCCTTGAGACGGCACAATTCTTGTAGACACGCGTGTGCTTTGGGGAGGTAACCAGCAACCAGTTTGAAGCCAGTAGCATTGTGGAGTCGAACTGCTGTCAGAGAAAGCCAAAGTCTGGTTTTGTTCAACCTGGAAAATCGGAGAGCCTCAGATCGAAACTACTTGTAAATTATGGCCCTGGGGCGGGCTTTGAATAATTAGTTTCGCAAAATAGTTGCAGAATGATATGTTTCTACACTGCAGATTCCGAGGGTGCTTCAAACATCCAGACTGTGTCCAAGCAATATGCAAGTATTGGTACCTCCTGAATCCTTTCGAAGGTTCAGAGCTTTTCGACCGAACTTGGAATAAGTATCAAGATACGTGTGGCCACTACGCAAGAGAAGCGATGCCGAACTGGACGTTCGACTTGCGTTCTTTGATTTTTTCAGAGGTTTGTGTGGCCACCTCGTGGAAGCCATGAGCGAACAAGTCTAGTGCTGAGGGCTCTCGACTAGGAGCGAGCATAGAGGATGTTGTGCTAATGTACAGCAGTATGTTTCTGGATGAAAGTTTAAAAGACGTAAAACAAAGCAGAATGGTCATATGCAGTAATGCAAAACTGCAGATTGCAAGATGTGGTAAAAAGTTTTAATATGTACGTATGTAGAAATGGGTGGTTGTCAAAATTAGGGTCCCTTTTGGAGTCCTTATTATAATACGGCACCGAATAATTAGGGTACCCAAAAAGGGACCATAATTTTGACAATCACACACACACACATATATATATATATAGATATTGCGGCTAAAACACGCACACATGTGATCCTGTATGCTCGTATAAAAGAGCATACTACACACTCTTGTTGTTCTTAGCACTGCAAGAATATCGGCAGACACAGTGTTTAAGGAACGTAATGCGTGGATGCATATATGGACGTTATAAAGAGACACATCTGTGGATGTTGGTATATGTTTTTGTATTATAGCAGTGCTCTTCACATAAAGCCCTTTTAACAAAGAATGGTATACACTGAAGTGTATACATACGTATAGATACATTCCTATGTATGTAGGTGTACATATTTGTATATATGTGCACATCGGTCAATATAGCTTAAGATATACTGAGGCCTGTTCGTGTGTATTTGTATACATCATGTATGCTTTGCGGCAAGTACATACCTATAGATATTGTATATGTATATATGTATGTATGTATGTATATATGCACTCATATGCCTATGCACAGGTATTTGTGCTTGTATGTCTACATGCTTAAGAAGAAACTCAATTCATCAAATCATCCTTGTCCAGGCTGTAGGATCAAAGAGTTGGTTGCAACCGACTCAGCTTGCTTGCTCTGCGGTGTGCAGGATGCCGACCTCCCTGCCTACGTGAGCAGTGCTGCAACGCTCCTTTATGCCTTCTTCGTCATGCATCAGAGAGGACACAAGATCAAAGTGGACCCGAACGGACCAGTTCCTCGTCCCTTTGCATGCGTGCGCTGTGGTCGATGTTCGGTCCGTGGCCTTGCAACCGAGGAAGGTCATGGCGGTCATGACGGTCCTTCCTTTTTGGCGGCGACAGTGGAGAATGCGACTGTGGCAAACGAACAGCTCTCAGAATGTCCAGCATCAGCGAGAGGATTCCTCTCATAAGCTGCCTTAGCTTGTTTGGCTGAGGTACCGTCTGAAATCGTGGGTTCAGGTCTGAGAGCAGAGGACAGAGTTCCGGACCAATTGATTTAAGCCATCAAACAGTATTGGGCCCTCACTTGGCAACCTGGCGGTAGAACAACTTCTTTCTTTCATATTGCACTGCTACGCTCAGCAGAGCGTACAAGTGAATTGCTTGTTCAACCACCTGGAAGCCCAATTGCTTTTGTTTAGCTGCAGAGAGGTTGGAGGTCTGTACATATCTTGAGTCCAGCCCAGTCCACATCTGCATCGGCTCATGACAGAAGGACGGGGAAGAAAGGTGTCATCCACATGTGCGCGGCACAGCAACTGAACCCCCGACAGCCGGAAGTTCAGTTCCCAAACCGCGAGCCGTAAACCCTAAGCCCTGAGAGCCTGCATGCTGAAGCGTAGAACCTTAAACCTCAGAAGGGAACCTGCATGAACTGCCTTGTCACCAGAGGTCATCTCTGAGAGATTGGCTGAGCAGACCCGAGGTGACTGAACGGATGAGTCTCATCTCACGACATTGCTCAATATGTCTAGGCCATGTTGTATGTTGCAACCTTTTGCCCGCACATATATGCAAGTGAGATATCGATACGGCGAATAGTTGTGCGCAGCGCACTGTAAAGGTGTCAACCACGGAGGTGACTCTTGCGAGATTGATTGCGATCGTAACGACGGTATGCTACTGTAGATGTTGTTGCACATTGTGGTAGATTGTTGAGCTAGCTGCCGACTGTTAATGGAAACGACTCGTGCAGGTCAGGACAGGCAAAAAAGACTCAGCTCGGTACCAAGAAATGCCGAGTGCATGCTGGCCCCTCGACTGTCCATGGAACTCGAAACCCGAAACGCCGTTTACCATGGCCACACTCAGGAATCTTAATCTTCCAAAACCTCAACAATCCCTCAAACCCAAAAGGCGTGAGGCCCTTGTTCGCCACATGGCTTGACCGGTCCGAAGCTGACTTCTATTCTAGGTAGGGAAGCCCAAACCCGAAGCGCCGGTTGCCCTCCTAGATGGGCCTGTGAGGGCTGAAGTGTTCGCATCTTTGATCCATGCGGGCCCAAGTGCTTCCCCCGTTCGGACGTGGCCTCTGTCGTGGCGATTGGTTTCTGTGGGGTGCCTAAACAGCCGTCTCGTCATGAGTGGCTCGCACGAACGTAGCAAAAGAGCCATTCAGATTCTTTGAGGCCATGGCAGTGAAGGCCAGGCATCGTGGCCCCAGGCAAGGACAGAGACTTTCATTCAAAGCACAGGATTTGTGCTTGGTCATGATTTCAGTCTGTTTGAGACGTGTAGACCACAGATCCTATAGAGAATAGAATGTCCCCCGGCCCCCGACATGTCTTTATGGTATTTGCTGCAGCGTTCAGGCCAGCAGCTCTTTTACTGGTTGCGCCCATTCTGCTGCTGTCATGGCCCTGCTGGCTCTATTACTCTTCAATTTGCCATTTGAGCGTGCTAGTTTCGCGAGTTCAGCTGCCTTAGCTGATCTGTTGTGGGCACTCCTAGACCTACTTCCGGTGATGATTTTATCAGAGATGCACGCGCCAGGGCTTGCGGGTGGAACTTGAGCTTTGCCCTTGGGGTTTCTCCGCGGAGCAGGCCCGCAGCTCATGGCTACTCCTGTACATGAACGGCTGAGAGTCATTGAAGGCCTAGAGCATCACGAACTTGCCTGCAAACATATACCTATACATATTATCTATATATATATATATATATATACTTACTATATTATGTTAAACTATGTTTTATTGTGTATATATATTATATATATGCAATGCTCACGTTATACATATCATGTCTTATCTAATATATATTCGAGCTTTGAGCTGCCTGTCTGCTCACATCCTTCAGACCGACGCCGCAAACTGGCGGCGCGCGCATGCCCTTCCCTGATGCAGAGGCTCGATGAGAGCGAGAGTCATGATGGGAATCATAAGCGGTGGAAGTATCAAAAGTTCAGGATCCAAGAGAAGTTCGTCGATTAGTGATCTGCAACACGGTAGTGATATTCGGTCACACTTACAGGAGAGTGACCGCCGGAATCCGACCAACATCGGCCGTCGTTCGAGCTATCTTGCAACTTGCTCGGCAACATAGAGGCACAGGGTTGACAGTGTACAGCGTACCTGTCATGGTAATGTGCTGCTGGGTTGGATGGAGTCCCTGGGTAGAGCCCCCATCACACTGATCTAAAGCTCAAGCCAAAGTCTGCAATTCGACCACTAGCCTCTTGCGGGTCCAGGCAGCATCCAGCTCCACAGCCTCCTTCCTCGCAGTGGGTGGCCTGGCTGCGGCAGTGACGATGGCGCCCTGGAAGCACTGGCAAATGGAAAGCGTCATGGATGCGATCCTTGTGACTCTGACTGTGGTCTCCAACCTGGTGGCTATCATGAGTTTGATGATTCGTGCTATTGTATCAATTCGGTTGCCTTGCCTCTCAAAACAGTCAGTTCAGCACATTAACTTGAATTTCTGAGAAGATGCAGACTAACGCGGCATGTGTTTCAATTTCTAGTTGTTTGCTCATCGCAGGCCTCGGCCTCGAAGCGGGCGAAGTTGGTCGGTGGGGGTCCCAGGTTGACGCTTCGTAGCCGGAAGACGCCGTTAAGGGTGTTTCGTCGCTGTCACGGCATAGTGGTGCTGGTGCTGGTGCTGGTTGTCGTGTAGTACGTCATAGCATTTACAGTCGCAGTAGTATTCGCGGCAGGAGGAGTGGTAGCTGGTAGCAGCGGTAGCAGTAGCAGTAGCAGCAGCAGTAGTAGCAGCAGCAGTAGCAGTGGCAGTAGCTCTGGAATTGGCAGTGGTAGTGGTAGTGGTGGTAGCAGTAGTAGTAGGTAGCAGCAGGAGCAGCAGCAGCAGCAGCAGCTGCAGTAATAGCAGCAGTTGTAGTAGTTGTACTAGAAGGTGTCGTCGTAGTTGCAGTCGTGGTAGTGGTAGTCGCAACGGCAGTGGCAGTGGCAGTAGTGGCGGCAACTGTAGCCGTGGCCGCAGCCGTGGAGCTCTGCTGCTGCAAGCTTTTGCAACCTGGCACTTCCATGCTGTTGTGACTGAGCAACATGTCATGTGGTTTCAGGTGGCGAAACACATGCGTGTGTGTCCCAACATTTATAGCATGAAATTAACAAGTGGACCCGCCGAGTTTAAGCACGTAAATAAGCAGAGGAAACGCAACTGAACAGGGTGCCGCGGTCTGAGCTGCATGCCCTGCTGAGGAAGAAAAGCAGAAGAGGTGGAGGACCCGTGTAGCGCCTGAGGTGGGCAGTCTCCGACACACAGACGAGACAAAATGCTTCTTGAGGACTGGTCCTTGGACTCAGTCAGCAAGAAATTTGCACCTCAGGCGCAAGACAGTCCATCGATGGGAAGGTTCGGCATGATTACAGACTGAAAGATTTCCTCTGGTGCAGGTCGCGGAGATTCGCAAGCTTTGCAAGGTCGGGTGCTCCATTCCTGCAGAGGCGTTGAGCTGACACAAAGCCTTCAGCAAACGAAGGATCTGCCAGAGGATTTCGATGATACCAAACTCCTCCGTGCCGAACCGAGCTCTAGACACTAGCGACTTTTCAACTGCTCAGCACCCTGGGGTTGTGAGGCTATGCCCTGCAGCATCCAGACTCACCCGGCGACGCCGCAGCAAACGCATCACTGCCTCGCTTCGGGCTTCTCCTGTTTGCATCGCTATTGTTGCACAAAACTGATGGAAGGCAAAGACTAAGAAACAGACAGCGGATTCTTCCGATTGTTCTACTCGATGGAGAGACAGCTTTCCAGTGCGCTGCAGGTCAAGGAAGTCCTTGAGTGGCGCCAAGGCAGAGACCGGGCAGCTGTGATCCTGCAAAGACTGGACATCAATAGCCTTTGCCACCTACTTGTAGCATTGACAGGTGAAGGTGCAGGCATAGTCAAAGCAGCCGCAGATGCCATTGCCAAGGCCCGGGAGACCTGCCTATGCTTTGCGGAACTGCAGTGGTGCGAATTCGTTCAGACGTACCTGGCAATGAGCTGCGAGAGAGCAGCTGCTCAAGCACTTGAACATGTTGAAGGAAATGACCACTGAATGGAAAGAAATGAGGTTTACGGTATGCTATGCGGATGTAAAGAGCCCAGAAGCATCCCGGCCTCGCTGACAGCACCAGTGCTAAATTCGCGAACCCTTGCAGTTGAGTTCCTGCTCAGATGATACGCTCTTTTGGGACGGCCCCACGCTTTATTGGCCCTAGCGGCCCTAGATATGGGGCGCCGATTTGAGGTCCTTTAAGCGAGAAACCCTAGCAGATCCTGTCTAAACCGGGAGCTCGCCTTGTGGACCTTTCGAGCACACGTGTTTTCAGCCACTACCACATAGATGCGGATTTGCTGCCATGGCTTCTGGAGCGCATCGGGTGCTTCTCCTGCTTTCTGCCTTGGCATCGGGTGAGCCTGGACTCAGCGAATTGGCAGCAGCCAGAAAGAGCGCAGAGCGAAGATGCCCAACAGCGACCATCCGTGATTTGCCGAGGCTCGCCGGCCAGATGTCGCTTAGAGGATGGCAGCTGTCCTCTGCACGACATGGAGCTCGATTCCAGCACCTTAGTTGTTCCAGGCGCTGCAGGGGCCATGACAAAACACGGCCTTGTCACACGTGTTCAAGGCAAGACACAAGCTTCATGAACTCAGACAGCTTCAACAATTCAGGCGGCCAAAGTCGCTGCATTTTCAGCAACACGGCGTCCGAGTACGCCTTCCAGGCCAGCGGCTTTGGCTCATGGCCTGAAAGGGCTGCCACATGCTGTTCCTTTCGAAAATCCAATGAAACACCTGCACGAGGTCATACCTGGCGACGCGGACAAGCTCTTGATCTTCTTTCAGGGTGGCGGAGCCTGTTTCAACGATGCTAGCACCCAGGGAGTGTCTCGACCAGCTATACCGTGACGTGGCCACTTCCGTTGCCTCGTGTCACGGCACTTCAAGATGTCACGCAATCCATAGGGCGTGCGAGTGAAGGCTGCGCCCTGCTTGTCCCATGTGGTTGAGCAGCCTCTGGTCGGGATTTTCGACCGCACCAATGCTGCAAACCCGTATCGCAAACACACGGTCGTCGGGCCCTCGGAAGGAGACATCGGCATGCCAGCATCCTTGCACTGCATGCATTCTATAGTCTGCAAATCTCTTGGGCCACACTTCGCGGGACATGCTGTCGTCTAATTCGTACATTATTGCATTTTTTGCTGCCAGTGGCACATGAGAAATTATGAGAGGTCCACATCAACTACTGCAGCGGTGACTTGCACATCGGCCTCTCGATTGCAGCCTGCACGATGAAGCGCCAGCCGGCCGGGAGCGTTTGTTTGGCAAAAAGGGCTCAGGGGACGTTCAATATCATTCAATGCAAGCTTCTTGTCTTGTGCTGTTTTGAAGTGAACGGTTGAACTTGTTGTGCTCTCATCCTGAATCTAAAGCTCAAGCCCTGTCGACTGAAGTTCTTCGGATCCGCACCGTGCCAATCCAGAGGCCCTTGAACACAAAGCTTTGTCGATAAGGTAATGTGGTCAGATGGTATCTGGATGGGGCCGGTCAACGAGTCGAACAGCGAGGGTTCCCGAATGCCCTGTCTGCCATCAAGTGGACGAGGACAATGGTTCCAGCAGTTCACGCAGAGCTCCACAATCATGCATGTCATAATGTGGCAATATGACTCCTCCGGTGCCAAACTGAGCAACGCGAAGGAGAAACATGGCGGGTAGATTAGCGTCCCTGGTCATCGCCGGGTCTTCTACTGGTGCTTTGGGGGCCCAGCTTTGGGCTGCTACTCTTCTGAGGAGCTTCAGCTCTTCCCTCAGGTTTCGCGCTGTCACGTTCGTTTTGATATACATGTGTATATATATATATATATATATATATATATATATACATATACATATATTATGTGTATTTGTTTTTATAGAGAAGAAGAAGGTCACCAATCCGCTGCGGTGATCAGTGACTCGGCCCTCGGCATCTTCCCCGAGCATTCGCAGGGTCCACTTCTTGCAGGCACAGCACACTGCTTTAGCTCCGATGCGGGTCCCTCCACCTTCACGTGTGTTGCTTCTTTCAGCAGTTTATGTAAACGAATAAACAAAGGCACCGCTAGTTTCGAATGAAGCATCTGCAGGCTTCGGATTATGCAAGTCTGGCCTTCTGGACGACTCTGCCGCCCTGCAGAGGCTTTGCAGGTCTCAACAGCTGACCATGCAGGACAGTAGGCAAATACTGAATATTGTCCTGACAAAACTGACTGCTGTTGCAACTTCGACATAGTGATTGGCCCCGGTGTTCTCGTGCTTTCCGGTCCTTGGCTTTCGTGCACACTTAGGTGCTATTGCCTTTCATGTTCTGTCGTTTGCAGGTAGGTATGTCTTCGTCTTCTCCTAGCTGGGTCGTGGCGGAGGTTCGTGCGTGATTTCGTCATTCCGGACGAAGCACTCGCCTGTTCGGGTGTAGTACTCTTTCGATCCTCGGGACTTGCGCAGCCTTTGTAGCTGTGCTCCATGTTTGTACTGTCATACTTCAGGGTCCACATCGCATGGTTTGTCCTTCAAATTCCTCGGCAACTCAAGTTCTAGACTAGAGCGACTTTGGCACGTGCGAGAGAGATGCAATGACTTCCCCATCAGGGAGTCCGTATCATCCTCAAACGCAAAGCAGGTCTTTCCTGACCAAAGCAGCGTGATCCCCTTACTCATCCACCATTGGGCAACTCTTAAAGAACGCGAAAGCAGCGCCGCTTCAAGAGAGAGCGGAATCGGTAATACATCTGCGCCGGAAAGGTAGAACGGTAGTTCTGACGCATGAACGCACCGGCTTGGAAGCTCCGAATCTAGCACCATCCTTGCCAGTGGCGCCAGGACATCTTTCACCAGCTGGCAGCAGAATATCCACACGTGGCACTCCCTGTCATCACGAGTCAGCAAGACGCCATGCAGCCTCTTGGCTTAGGCGCTTTCCAGAGGCGTCTTCGAGGGGTAAGTTGCACGTTTTCTTCAATGGGCCCAATGGAATGTTTGATGAACAATTAGAAGAGGCTTGAAGTCCAACACAGCAACATGCATACTGCGCCGCTGATGTATCTGAACGAAACTATTGTTAGGATACATGATGCCATCGGCATCTGTGATGTATGTATCCATATTGTATGTATATATGTATACACATATGTACATATAAACACATACGCGTATGTATGTATGTACGTATGTATGTGTGCGTGTATCGACATATATGTATGTAGACATGCACACATACAGTGTGCCTAGATACGTGTGTATGTATATCTGTATCTATATCTGCCCCGTTCTCAGATGTAAGTGCATATCTATGTATCGCCTTATCGATGTTCTTGTGTTCGTCTCTCTCTCTCTGTATCAACTGTCCACCTGTCGGCATACATGCATGCATGAATGTATGGTCAAGGAGGTCTTAACTTATGCTACATCTTCGCATGGAAGTTGTCCGGTTTCCGTTTGCCTGCTGACATCCTATGGATAGCATGATGTCAAACCAGGATCAAGATCTACAACGCCGTCTGCATGGCGAATATGATGACGGAACGAGACAGCGCTGCAGAGTGGGAGTCGAAACTCATAGCCACCCTCGAGTCGTACAACAAACATCCCGGCTTTGTGGAGCACTCAGTTTTGCAAACGTTTCTTGACACATTGTTTTGGCAGATTGCATCCGCCTGCACTCCGGCGCCTGTTGGGGAAAGTGATTTTAACACGACTGCAAGGTGCTGTACCTGATGTCCGGCAACTCCGATTACTTTTTACCCGTGAAGGCCCGCGGCAGCTGCAGTGCATTGGGCTTGGGGTCTTGAATCAGTATGTGTGCAGGGGTTGTATACATTCTGTCCCGAGCTGCAGCTTAGCCCAGCGAGCAACGACAGGAGCTCTTCACGACAGATCTGCGTGGCAAGCATGGCTTGCCTTCGTATGGCCTCAAGCTCGTGCAGTGGCTGGAAAGCCTTCCAGAAGCCTGCCAGCACAAGAAAGCTTCACCGACCTTTCGATGAAGACTATGTGGCTGTTTTCCCAAGAAAACAGCACCAAAGGTGGGTTTGTGGACCTGAGGTCTTCGCTGGACAAAGCATCTCCAGCGAATGCAGCGCCTGTGCGCCTGTCCTGGCTTCCAAAACCTTCACTGCTCCGACGGCCAGGCTTCAGCAGGAATCGCTTGTGGCAGTTCAGCCCCGAGATCTCCCCAAGGACTGCTCTCTCACGTAAAACTCTTACGAGGGAGAAGGAGAAGGTACATGCAACAGTTGTTGAATCATGTTGAATCCAGCCCGGGGTGTGCCAGGAGAGCAAAGATGATGTCGAGCTTTTGCCCAGCATTCACGTTGAGCCTCCGTCCCTGGAATATCCGTGGTGGTCATACCTCTACTATGCGGCGTTGCTCGTAACTGCTGCCCTGCTGTCTCTAGGACAGGGCAGCCTCCGACATCCCCAGTGCTACATAAAAGGGAGTGCGGGTTCAAAAGTGCAGGAGCGGCGCAGGAGTGGTGCCATCGCCTCGCCGGCTTGAAGTTGTTTCCGATTTCTCGTGCGCTTGCCCGAGTATCGACGAGGCCTTACGTAGGCTCAGCAATCTCTCACAGAAAACCTGCCAGGATCAAGCTTCCAAAGTGACGCCCATCACGAATCCAGCCAGGCCCCGGTTCCGAACCCAAGTTTGTCATACATTGGCTTTGAAGTATCTTGAAGTTACCTCAGTGTTGCCGACTGGCAGCAAGGAGCTTGCTTCAACGGTCGCTGGAGGAGAGGGCTGCAAACTGAACTGTTGCAGTTGACGGCGGTCCCTTCCCTGCCGCGTCGTAGATAAGTACTCGCAAAACCTGCCGCCGGACTCGCTGTCCCAGTTGCATTCCCCTGCATGAGCGACACCTCACAACAAGCTGCAACTTGCCCAGGACATCCTTGGCGGACATCCGTGCTGCCGGGTCACAAGTAAAAGAACTCCTGCGCTTGCTGAAGTTTACAAGTTGCCTTGCAAAGGTTGTTCTTGAGCCATGATGTTAAGCATGCCCCGGGGCCATGGTTCGACAGGCGCAAGAAGGTGGTGGTTGGGACAACAAGCCAGTGCTGGATGCCGTGTTCTCAAGCTTCGTCATGCATGGAAGTGTCGCTTCAGTCAGTGAAGTCATCAGACGCTCTTTCCGATATCTGTTGAGGCCGCACCGCATGCAGCCAAGGCACGTTTGTGCGCCCTCAAGCCGCCTCTGGATGTGGGTTCATGTTCGGTATGCCAACGGAGTTCAAACTTTTCAGATTGCTGCCTTAACCGAAGCACTGAACGTAGCAAATGCAGACAGAGCCTGTAGTATCGTGTAGTTACATGGTACGTAGGCAGGTAGGCGCACACACCCACCCATACATGCCTGCCCTCCACACACGCGCCAACCTGCGCTCGTGGTGACACAGGGGCGAACGCGAGCGCATCTGCCGTGCGCTCACCCACTCGCAAATTGCTCAAGCTGTGCAGAGCCCTCAACGACCTGTGGACCATGACATTCCCTCGTAGCTTCGTCGACTGGTTCTTTGGTGGCTCCTTGCACTCGGCTTGGATGCAGGAGAATGAGCTGGAGGTGTGCAAAGTGGGACTTCTGGAATCGCACCGTGTGAAGACTGAGACCGAACCTTCGGACGAACTGACGCCACATCCCTTCTATGCAGCGGTCCAGCGCGCTTGCATGGAAGAGGCGTGCATTATGTTTGCACGCAACAGGAACTTTTACGAGATCGTGGCCACTTGATCTGCTGCCTCGGCCTGCTAGGTTTTTTAAACTAACAGTAAGGGCTGACGGAAAAGGTGCAGAACAAAAAATTGTGTTCGTTGTTCGTTGCTGGCTCGGGGTCGCAATTGTCAAATTGTGCCTTCGGCAAAAGCGAGACTTAAGCCAAGGAGCACAGACCGGTGTGCCTCGCTTTCACTTTCGGCAGCTTACCGGTGGCATGTCGGGGCACAGAAATGGAATCCCGAACCATCAGAGGAAATGTTAAAGCAACTTGTTCCCTTGAGGTCGCTCCAGTTTGGGTAGCTAGACACCTTTTCGACTTGAACCGAAATGAGGGTCTCGAGTTGCTTTCAGACAGCCTGCAGAACTGTCAGATCCTATGACCCGCACAACTTCGCAGGTGTCAAAGTACATCACCCCCTCGCAAATGGTGGTGGTGAGCACCAAGGCGTGCATGACGAGCACCGGCAGCATCTCAACTTAGACCTAGACGTTCACGCTGGAGGTTGATCGTGAAGAGCATCTCATGTGACGCGCTGGTGCAGGTCGGTGATCTTGTCACCTGCATCCGTGCTTCGACAATTGATCCTTGGTTGCAATGCTTCGGCTTCAATTGCGACAGCTTATCAGATGGAGAAGAGATATTGCCGAATCAATGCTTCTTGCTGGATGTGCTTCGCACGACGGCTCAACCATTAGAGCCAGGACAGCGAGGCCTTGATGAAGGAAGTGACGGAAGAGGAGAGATGCAAGCGCCGACTCCGTGTTGGGATGTCTTGACTTTGTTGAAGACGGCCGTTTCAACTCCAGGAGATGACTGAATTCTTCATTTATGCCGGCTGCCCGGGCAATTGGCGAGGGTTCGGTTTTGAGAGGTTTTGGCATGGTCATGGTCCTCGCTGCACTTGTGTTGCAGGCACGAGAGGTGAACTCGGCAATGGCAGAGTTTCGCACGC